ACAGCTTTAAAAGCATCCAATACTTTACTATACCTACCGTAACTGCTGAAGATAGGATCCGCTTAAGTATATCTAAAACTAGTTACAAAATTAATCATCAAGGCCTAGAGAAGATGTGGAGATAAAGGAGTTAAAAATGATCAACTTCTTTTGTAACATAATACATTTTCTCTTTCAAGTTAGTTGAACATCGCATCCGTACACTTTACCAAATGCTGCATGTCCTTCAATTTCAACATCCCCCCGCTGAGACATCTGATAGCGGAACCAGCCTACACATTGCGGACAAAACTGTTGCTGAAAAAAACCTACTTTCCATTCGCTTACGAACGACAATCAGATCACTTGGAATAACAAGTAACAACAACAATAACTTCTGGAAGATTCTAAATACGTATCTATTCAGTAAACAGGCATATCATGTTGAACGCAACGTCTACCCTAAGTTGAAAGTTGAACTAGTAAAAGAGTCAAACACCAGTAGAAGAGTTAAATCAAGCAAATATTTCCGAGATTCGTTGCCTGCTGTCTGGATTCGCTATTGTCCACGCTGCCGAAAGAAGTAGTCCAACAAGAGCGCCTAAAACATGTAATCACAAAATTCTCAGAGATAAAAAGGCAGCAAAACCCTTAGTTCTTGAAACAAATATAATTCCAACTAACCGATTCCACTAGCCCGTAGACCATATGGACTACGGTATATTGCTCCTGTGAGGGCACCGGCACCAAGACTGTTCAGCTCGTCTTCAGCACGAACAGAGCGGAGAGCAATTTCCAAAGCAGAATACATAAACACCACTGCTCCTGAAAAGGTTGAAGCTAAGCTTTTATTACTATTATAAAAGGCACAAAACTGCTATCCCAAAATTATGAAGAAGAAGAATGTATATAAAATAGTCGTGATAGACTACTTAGAAATGATGAGCCGCAGTATAACATAATTGAATGCCGACACGGGAATCCCAAACAAACTGTAAAGCCGTAAATTTCGAGTGAAATGGAAAAAGCACATAACAGAGAATTTAAAAAATGATGACATAAAACATTTAAAATTGAATAGATCACATAATAAACAGTTATTAGTTGTAATCGTGTTTTCAAAACAGTATTCAGCAAAGCCCAAAATAGCAGAAATTCGATGGGATTCTCGGCGAAAGATCTATGTATGTTCTCCAAATAAGTTGTTTCGAAGATGATAAGAACAAATGGTGATCTCAACATATCTTAGAAACGTATTCAGAGCGCACAGTAGGATTCAACTGCAGTGGGTGCATCTAAGGCGGACATTTAAGCTAT